CTCCTGGGGTCACATCTGCAGACCTACCTCCTCCTGGGGTCACATCTCTTTCAAGCAAACACAAGCTGTATCCATATGTGTTTTCTAGCACTTCTGGGAAAAGATTCAGAGCCAAGTGTTCCTCACTCAGAGATCCTGTGGCTTCAGTCTCAGGAGGGCTCCAATTCGCATAGGATACAAATGCATCAAATTCCTTTTTATCTAAGGAAAGGGAACAACAAGTAAAACCAAAGTCGTTTAAAAAAAAACCATCATGGTATATACAGATGTTTGGGGTGTATGCTAACTGGATAAGAAATACAATTTGGGATCCTTACAAAAAGGAATTAAAAACAAAGCCAGCTGATGCATCTATTTTAAAGTCACACCACAGGGTGGTTTTGATTGTCCATATAAAACCCAATGATTAATTTATGAGGTGCCCCTGTGTCCTTGCAGGGGATAGATCAAACAGCTGGGGCCTCCTGTGATTGAATCTCATGTGCTCAGGAAGGGGTCGTTCTTCGTATCTGCAGTGTTTCTAGCTCAATAATCGTGGCATCAAAGAGGAGTCTGCTCTGTTAAAGCCTGATAATAACCAGAGAGCAAGTGCTGTTAAGATCCGGATCCAGTATCCGTCGGGAAGACGGAGGCACACTTACAGCCACACAGCAGCAACGGATGGTTCAGTTAACGGTGTGCACATTGCAGTGGTGGTTCCTATCACCCGTGGCTGCTGAGGTCATCATGGTGTTACAACACATCATATTTATCCCGTGTGCAGAAATGTTGGTATGGTCCTCTCTGTGCACAAGACGCAGAAGCATAGCCCTCTGACCAAGTCCGTACACAACACATGACTGTCAGTGTCCTCCACATGTGTTGTTGCACTTCACTTGCCATGACAGTGGAAAACACCCCTGCTTCCAAATAGTGTTTGCCCTACAACGCCATCAGCAGCCTCATGTGCCCAGCCTTTAACAAGTCCCACGATTGGATAAATGTCCTCTTCCGCTTAACTGAGTGTTGGCTGTCTTCCTCAGCTATACCTAGGAGTAGTCAGGCTTTATCTACATATTTACATATATAGTACCCGCTGTGAAGTGATAGACTTATATACATACACTCTCCAGAGAGTCCATAGCCTACTGGGTAGTAGGCTATACCATCTCGGTTTATACAAGCACACTAAATTTTGTTTCTACAGAGAAATGTAGCCTAAGGGTACATGTATCTGAATGTACCCTTGTCAGAAAGTGCCTTGTCACGTGACAGTACTTGTATCTGCGTGTGAGGTGAGGTCAGTAAAGATCCCCTCACAGGATGTCAATGGTAGCATGACGTAGCAAATATGCCGGGCTCAAGTGTCTGGCTCTCACCCAGCTCTCCCCTTATATCGGAGAAGCTACATTTCTAGAACTAGTCTTAGGATAGTGTGAAGGTCTCTTGTACTTCTGTTGATAATATTATCAGGCAGATTTGTTAGGGATATGCAAAAAAAAAAAAAACTACCTAGAGGAGACAGAGAAACTCACACGTTAACTCACAGGCTTTGGGATGGAGCAGCTGGAGTTTATATTTCAGGTCTTTTCCATAACCTCCACCTACAGTGTTTTTAGAAGTAACTAGTGTCCTGGCCATAAGTAGTATCTCAGGCTGTTTGGCAGTGTGCTTGCTTGTCCGATGTGAGTCAAAAGAGACGCCTCAAGGATTGACTACCATCTACAAACAAAACAGGAAGCTTAGAGCCCCCAAACCTCTAGAAGCTGGTTTGTGAGGTACTCGATTGCCCATATAGGAAGAAAGAGTCTCTGAGGTGTGGCCTGCAGGAAAGTGCTGGTGTGTTCAAATGTGAGACCTTGAGGTAAGGGTTACGAAGAAGCTCTGGAGAGGAGAATACTAGGACACACTGATATGAAGAAAGGGTTAAAAATTGAGAGCACCTTTACTGAGGAGGGGGAAGGAGAAAAGGAAGACTGGAGGAATATCAGTAGAGATGGTTTTAAAAGATACAAAAAAAATGTATAACACACCATAATTACTTCTATTCCTCCCAGCCTTTTGTAAAACTTCAGAGTTTTCTATAATTCAAAAGATAAACTTAATTTAGTAATGAAATTGCAGAATGTGGTGTTAGAGGACCTACGTATGACCTCCTAGTATTATTTCTTTCTAAATGAAATTTAGATATTTCACAATAAACTCTTGGGCTTTTATTGTGTAAATGAATATCCTTTGACCAGCAGAGGGCGCTAAAGCACTGTGCTTGAGAACCCAATTCTGAGCAAATCACAGAGTTAAAAAGTGAAATGACAAGAGACAAATTTCAATATTCCCCATCAACTGACTCTGCTTTGTAAACTCTAGAATCTTAAGGTTAAAAAAAAAGAAATAAAGAAAAAAATCAGTGAAAGGGGTGTGGACTCACCTAGGGAAGATTGATTAGATATTTTTTCTATTCAAATTTTTTAAAAAGGCTAATTAAACAAACAAAAATTCTGAAAATACTGCTGGCTCTTACGGATCTCAAAGGATGTTATCCATAATCAATCTAAGGAAAGATGAAATGCATGTATTTCTCCCATGTTCTTAGCTTGGTTCTGGGGTGTGTGTGTATGTGCCTGTGTGTGTGCGTGTGCGTGTTCAGAATTGAACTCAGACCTGGAACACTTCTCTTTCTTTTCTAGGTGCCATTACAGCCTGCAAAAGGCACTGACACTGCAAATATGTCAACCCGAGTCTTTCCAGGGCCAGCGAAGCTTAAAGCGGCACTCTAGCCCAGACAACAGGATGGGTATTATAACCATGTGGGCGAATTGATAGAAGCATCATTAGTAATAATAGGATTTGTATTTTGTGTAATTTACACTTGTTTGGGACAAATCCCTGGCCTGGTGTGCCTTGTTTTTATGTGGTGATAACCCAGGTGATGAGTTTCTAAAGCCAGACTCAAAGATTCAAAGTTAAGATACAGCCTCTTCAGGTGATGTAATATAAAGATCATGGCTTCGTCTTTCTCTGTCTAAGGGGGCTGTGAGGATGGTAATAATCAATACTCAAGCTGGGCATGTGCTCCATCCTCAAGGGGCATCCATTGACTATATTGAGTTTCTATATACTAAGGTACCAGTCTAAAGGCAAGCCACATCTAGCCTCAGTGAGCTCACACACTGTCCTCTTTGCCTGCTGCTGTTACAGTCCTGTTTTATGGAGGAGGATGGCAGTACATAAAGCTGTCACTTGCTGAATTAACTCAGATTGGTTAACGGAAAGATTTCCAAGTCCCATAAATACCACAAAAGTGTCTACTACACAGTTCCTGGTAACTAGAAGGAGTTAGAATACTTTCTTCAGTCTTCCCTGTTATAAAGCCCAAGCAGGAAAAGGAAGAAGAAGAGGAGGAGGAAGAGGAGGGGGGAAGGGGAAGGGGAAAAGGAAGAGGAAGAAGTAGAAGAAAAAAGAGAAAGAAGAGGAAGAAAAAGAAGAGGAGGAAGAAGGAGGAGAAGGAGATGAAAAAGAGGCAGAAGAAGGAGGAGGAGGAAGAGGGGGAGGTGAAGAGAAACAAGTAGAAGAAGAGGAAGAAGAAGAGGAAGAAAAAGAAGAGGAGGAAGAAGGAGAAGGAAGGAGGAGGAGAAGGAGATGAAAAAGAGGAAGAAGAAGAAGGAGAAGAAGAGGAGGAGGAGGAGGGGAGGAAGAAGGAGGAGGATAAGGAAGAAGGAGGAGGAGATGAAAAAAGAGGAAGTAGAAGGAGGAGGAGA